GGGTGCTGGAGGTAGTGGTGACTGTGGTGACTTCCTGTGCCCAGGGGAGATTCATTAGGTCACAGTGGAGTCGGCATTGCAGGCTGGGATGCCCTGGTTTAATTGCGACAGCTAGCTTACCGTCACACAATCGGCCTTTCGGGGTATAGTTTTGACTCTGAGTGTAGAACCTAGTCCTCCACTCCTTCCGTGGCTACTGAGTGCCTTTCTTGTCTACCTAAAACCTGCCAAGCCTGGTTCTTTGGCTAGCAATTCACATTGTTGCCCAGGATTCCTGCTACCCACGACCTTCAGCGCCTCCTTCTCAGGTGTCAGATGTTGGGGAGATTATTTACTCACATTCCTCTTCATTTCTTCTTTTTTAATTATTATTTTTTAAAGAAATTTTTTAATTGAAGAATTGTATTTACAAAGTTACTGAGAGTTCAGTTTCAGGCATACAACATTTCAATACCAATCCCACCATCGGTGCCAACTTCCCTCCACCAGTCTTCGCATCTTCCCTCCCCATCCCCAACCGCTGCCCCATCCCCTGCCTGTCACCTTGACAGGCACATGACAGAGTCCCAGTGGTGGCCACTTAGATCTCATGTTTTCCATGTTGTTGAGTCTGTGTTTTGGATCTATGGCTCTACCTCTCTCCCGTATCACCAATGTATCAGAAGCCCTGATGCCTGTTTACCCATTACTTCCTGTTGTCTTCTTCCCATCCTTGATTTATTTTTTAAAAATTAATATTTATTTGTTATTGAGTCACCATGGGCTGGAGCAATAGTACAGTGGATAGGGCATTTGCCTTGCAAGCGGCCAACATTGCCGACCCTAGTTTGATTCCTCCGCCCCTCTCGGAGAGCCCGGCAAGCTGCCGAGAGTATCTCGCCCACACGGCAGAGCCTGGCAAGCTCCCTGTGATGTATTTGATATGCCAAACACAGTAACAATTGTCACAATGGAGATGTTACTGGGCCCTCTCAAGCAAATCGATGAACAATGGGAAAACAGTGAGTCACCATGAGATACACAGTTACAAAGTTCTTCATGATCAGTTTTCAGTCATACAATGATCCAGTACCCACCAGTGTCCATTTCACACAACCAATGACCCCAGTTTCCCTCCTGCCCCCCACTCACCTCCCCTCGCCTGCCTGCCTCTATGGCAGGCATTTTCCTTCTCTCTCTCTTTCTCTCTCTCTCTCTCTCTCTCTCTCTCTCTATCTATCTATCTATCTATCTCTCTTTCTCTCTCCACCCATTTCTTTCCTTCTCATCCATCTCTTCTCTAAATACTAGGATCAAGGAGGGTTGGAGCGATAGCACAGCGGTAGGGCGTTTGCCTTGCATGCAGCCAACATGGCCGACCCGAGTTCGATTCCTCCACCCCTCTCGGAGAGCCCGGCAAGCTACCGAGAGTATCTCGCCCGCACAGCAAAGCCTGGCAAGCTACCCGTGACATACTCGATATGCCAAACACAGTAACAACAAGTCTCATGATGGAGACGTTACTGGGCCCACTGAGCAAATCGATGAACAACGGGAGGACAGTGACAGTGACAGTGACAGGATCAAGGGTGATGTAGGCATCCACCTTTACAACAGTACATTTTTTCATGCAGTATTCTATATACCATGGATAAGTGAGATCATCCTGTGTTTGTCTGTCTTCTGTCTCGCTTCTTTCAAAACAGTATCTTCCATTCCCAACCAGATTGCAGCAAATGGTATGATTTCATCATTCCTTACAGCTACATAGTATTCCACTGTGTATATGTACCACATCTTCATAATCCATTTATCTGTATAATTAAGATATGGAATCAACCCAGGTGTCCAATGACATTCTTCTTCATTTCTTTTCTTTTTATAAAGTGGTTCACAATATTTGATTGCATTTCATATTCAAACACCAATCCCACCACCATGACACCTTCCCACCACCATAGTTTGGATGTTTCCATCCCTAACCCCAACCCCAGCCCCGAAGTAGAACCAAAATAATTTATTTTGTATTGTTTGTTATGAATAAATTGCTGAAAATGCTCCAGAAATCTTTCTAGAGAGGAGAGTATGTGAAGATTGTTGTATTTCACTCAGGGGCCATTAAGCCCTTCTATAAGAGATTACTAATATGTTGTTAAAAACGTATCTATAATATGTTTTATATCTGTACATATCTGTAAAATACATACACATATATATCTGTAAAAACTTATTTCCCTCTAAGGTTGGTTGCCTTCTACTTTAAACCTCATCTTGGAGTATGAGTGGTGTGAAGTAGGAGATGTCCAGGGATAGGTTTACTTGTGGGTGAGGCTTGACCCGAGCGTGTAGAGAGGTGTCGTGTGCATGGCCGAGGTTGGGTTCTGGAGGTTTTCAGCTGCCTGGGCTGGGTCCCTTGGGGCAGGGAGGGGCCTCACCCACCCACCTCCAGGGTGCCCCAAGTGGAACAGCCTGGCACGGGGTCTGGCAGCATGATTATGGCATTGTCGTGTTATGCTCTCTTCTGAGAGAGAAAGATAATTAGTCTCTGAATCGTGGCCCCATTCTTAATTATTTCTAAAATAAGGGTATCTCCTGGTTTTGTTTTTTTAATTCTAAAAATCCACTATTTTTGCTTCTGACTAGTGGGATGCTAGCTGGCTTCCAGATCGATCTGCAAGTGTACCGCTCAAAATCTTGCACTCAGTATTTCAACCTGGTGTATTGTTCCTGTCTTTTCTAGCAATTTCTGGGTCCTCCTGCTTGCATTTCACCCTGTTGGTTAACTAGCATTTACTGGGACTACATACCCTACCGCTTGCCTCTCGACAGGTGTAAAAATGTTCTTTGTTCTCTGTTTAGTGATCTGACTAAAGGGGAAAAAATTGCTTCAGGCACTAGTAGGTTTCTAGGTTTCTGTGATAATGTTGATTCAGAGATTTCTTTAGTGGAGAGTTGAGGTTGTAAGTCATAAATTATACACACACACACACACACACATACACACACACACGCACACGCACACACGCACACACACACGCGCGCGTGCACACACACACACACGCACACACACACACACCCCAAACTACATTTTAATACCATCCTGTTATACAAAAGATTCATGATTTGAAGGGATCAATCTGCGTATGACTCCCCCACCCCACCCCCTCCCTTTACACAGTGGAACAACTTAAAGTCAAGTCATTTTTCAGGAAAGCTAAAAGCAAGTGTGTTATAAGTGCCACCTCGTTGTAGGATTATAGTCATCAGCCCTGCAATTGTCTTTTAAAAAGTCAATCAATAAAACAAAACAGGGCTGGGAATGTAGCTCTGCTCCGTGGAAACCCCCCGCCCCCCTCCGCCCCGCCACCCCGGCCTCTCAGGCATGAGGCTCAGAGACTGATCTCCGGCATGTCAAAAGAGCAAAAACAGTCACAGAGCTTATTAGTCAGCCATTCCCAGACAGCTTTAGCAAACGTGCTTTGCATGCCAGGTGTGTTGGGGCTTTTACCTGCAGGGCACAAGCATATTAAAATTCAGTGACCACAGTGCGCCCGTTGTCTTGGAGCTAATATATGGTGTAAACAGCCCTGTAGTGGTCTTCCAAGTTAGCTTGGAGAGTTTTCCACTTCATTTGATTTGGGGCAGGGGCACTCTACGTCTGGAGCCCAGTGGTCCCTGTGGGCCACCCACCGTACAGTACTGGGGACCAGTCCCCAGACCTCTTACATGGATTGCCAGTAATTTGCCACTTGAGCTGTGTCTCTGGGAGTGTATTTGAAATAGTACTGCAAGTGGATCACGATCACGATCACGACCACCCTGTTGTTCGTCGATTGCCTCGAGCAGGTGCCAGTAACGTCTTCTTCGTCCTAGCCCTGAGATTTTTTTTTTTTAAAGTGCCATATTCAAGGCTTTTTCAGGGTTAGGAGAATGAGACCCATCATTGTTACTGGTATTTGGCATATTGGGTACGCCACGGGGAGTTTGCCAGACTCTGCCGTGTGGGCGTGTTACATTTGGTAGCCTGCCAGTTTGACCAAAGTAGGAATGAGATGATAAGATGATAAGCTTCCGGGAGCTGAGTGTGATGATCTCTGGATCCTGGCCGTTGTTGGAGTTACACGGCAGTTGGTGGGTGTAACTGTCTAGTTACTGGCAGGTCCAGTCCCAAACTGTGCAGGCTTGGAGATCTCAGCCCCGGGTCCCACACACCTGGGTTCCTCTGTCAGTTCTTTTATGCGTGAGGCTCATCCAAGTGTGTGGAGAGTGCTCCCAGCATGGCCTTGGCTGGGCCTCGGTGGTCTTCAGCTGTTGGGCCCTGGTGGAGACAGTCAGGCATAGGGTAGGAGACTCTGTCTTGTTCTCTCCCGGGAGCTGAGTGCGAGTGGAGCGGTCTGAAATAGTCACGTACCAAACTGTGCATTCACACTTAGAAAAAAAACACAGCAGAAGTTCAGCTGTGAAGATTAGTGTGGACTGAGGGAGCAGGGGTCACTCTTTGGTAAAGGGGGGGCGGAGAGGCTGTGCGCATCATGTTCCCAGCTGGAGGCAGAGGGAGGATAGCCAGGCAGGGAAAGGGGAGCCCTGATCAGAGAGAGGCCAGAAGAGAGAATGAATGCCGCATGTGTGCTGAGTGGGGGCAGGGTTGCCGACGATGCTACTGGACACGCTGGAGCAGTTGTGGGGGCTCAGAGTTGTCTGTTTGAGTGGACAGTGAGGGGTGTGCAGTCATCTGTGTGAGTGGACAGTGAGGGGTACAGGATGCGTAAGTGGACAGCGAGGGGCGAAGGGTGCGTAAGTGGACCATGAGGAGTGCAGGGTGCCTAAGTGGACAGTGAGGGGTGCAGGGTGTGTAAGTGGACAGTGAGGGGTGCAGGTTCATAAGTGGATAGCGAGGGGGTACTGGATGAAAAAGTTGAAGACTACTTTTGATCTCTGGAAAGGTCTGCTTAACTTTAGTCATCTCAGAAAGACTGGCTTGTGGGTTACCTCACATCCTCTTTTTTTTTCTGTTTTCTCAGACTCCCTCGAACCCACTTACCAGCAGCTTCAGAAAATGAAACTGGACAAGAGCCCCTTTGTGGTCGTGTCCGTGGTTGGACAGGAGCTGCTGACCGCCGGCCACCACGGGGCCTCTGTGGTTGTCTTAGAAGCTGCCCTGAAGATCGGCACCTGCAGCCTCAAACTCAGAGGCTCCGTCTTCTCCGCCCTGAGCAGCGCTTACTGGTCTCTTGGGAACACAGAGAAGAGCACGGGTTACATGCAGCAGGACTTGGATGTAGCCAAGACCTTAGGTAGCTACGCTTCTTTCCTTCATTTCTTCAGTGCAGGAGAGCATAGGAAGCTGTTTAACTGGTATTGACAGGAGTAACATAGACAGTGAAAAGTGAGTGGGCCACTAAAACATTCTGTTTTCAAGCACTAAGTAGTCTGTGGTTTTTTACAGTACAAGGCCCCCAGACCAAAAGATAAATACTAACATATTCATTATCCTCCCCAGAGACTTGGGCTAATAGGTTTACTGTCCCAAACAGAAGTATGGTTAGCATGAAATGAACATTTCATCTTAATATTAATATTTACCTACCTTTGGATGCATCATTATTTGGCTCAAGGAAACTGCAATACAGTGGCCAATGTGGGATGGTGGAGCCCAGTTCCACCAACTGTAGGGATGGGAGCATTAGAAACCTGGCATTGCCACTGACTAGCTGTGTGACATAGAGCAAGTCTCCTCATCTCGGTGCAGTTACTGGCTTCTGGTTGGGATTACCGTGGTGACAAGGACCCAAGGGCTCCTGTGGTGACAGCAAGAAACACAGTGAATCTCCCCCTCAGCAGAAGCTCCATATATTTTACGGGAAATTTGGTGTCAAATGACTGAACCAACAAGGAAATGATTATTCAGAATCAAAGGTCATTAGAAGAGCTGGTTTGTGTCAACTTCTTTAGCGTTTCATTTCCTGGACACCAGTGTCCCTCACTGTAGTTGCCTGCGCTTACAGCAGAAGTAATTGTTGTCCAGAGATCGAAATCCCAGGACCTAACTTCCCAAAAAAAATCTTAGAAAGCAAAGCAAAGCAAAGCGTTGCAAGCATGTGGCTCTGAAATTAAAACGGCTTTATAAATTAGGGGTCACACTGTGCCTTCAAGGAAGTTTGATGTTTCTTCTCCTCCAATGCAGGTGACCAGACAGGAGAATGCCGAGCTCATGGGAATCTGGGCTCTGCATTCTTCTCCAAGGGAAATTACCGGGAGGCGCTCACGAACCATAGGCATCAGCTGGTGCTTGCCATGAAGCTCAAGGATCGAGAGGTAGGAAGTTTACTCGAAGACCGAAAATGTCCCATTTTGAAACACGGACTCTCTTTTTGCTGATCAGAAAAGTTCACGGGGGCTGGGGATAGAACCCAGTGGTATAACACAGACTTCACATGTCTGAGGCACTGGGGTTCATCCAGGTACTTTCAAATATTGCTTTTAGAAGTTGACCATCATTGGGGCTGGAGCGATAGCACAGCGGGTAGGGCGTTTGCCTTGCACGCAGCCAACATGGCCGACCCAGGTTTGATTCCCAGCATCCCATATGGTCCCCCGAGCACTGCCAGGAGTAATTCCTGAGTGCATGAGCCAGGAGTAACCCCTGAGCATCAGCGGGTGTGACCCAAAAAGCAAAAAAAAAAAAAAAAAAATTAAACAAAATTTAAAAAAATTAAAAAAAAAAAAAGAAGTTGACCATCATTGCTTCTACCTCATCTCAGCATCATAGGCTGGACGTCTTACCCTTCCAGGCACTGGAGAGATGGAGGTAAATAAGATCTGGTCCTTGAGCTCGGTTCTAGTGGCGTGGTCATATGTGATGTTATTCTTCTCACGAGTGCTGTGGAGTAGACAGATGTAAGTCAGTCATAATACGTATCATCACGATATCGTCTCCAAATGAAAGAAGCATTAACGCATCATTTAAAAGGGAGAATTATTATCGCAGCCCTCCTTTCCCCAGGCTGTTTCTCTGTGGGCTTGTCAATCAGATAGTAGAAGTATATTCAGTCTGTTAGAGAGGCCTGCATCAGACCCATAAATAATTATCATCCTAATATTTATTTAAAGATTATCATCCTAATATTTATTTAAGATGAAGTGTAATAGTCTCAGAAGTGATTTACTCAATCTGCATTTGCAAACCACAATGGCCAAAGGGGGGAGGGGGGAGAGAGAGAGAGGAGAGAGATAGGTACCTAGCATAGAGGCAGGCTGAGGGTGGGGTGGGGGGTGATGGGAGGGAACCTGGGGGCACTGGTGCTGGGAAATGTACACTGGTGAAGGGATGGGTGTTGGACACTGTATGACAGAAGCCTAATCATGAATAGTTTTGTAAGGGTCTAGCTCACAGTGATTCAGTAAAAAAAAAAAAATCTTGGGGGAAAAGAAAGAAGTGACTTGAACAGGAAGTGCATTTAGGGTGGAAAGAGGGTTATGGAGTCAGGTGGGTCCAGGCCTGCATCCTGCCCCTGCACTCACTGGCCCTGGGAACTTGGAGTCACTAACTCCTCTTTGCTTCTCTTTTCTTATTCAGGCCAAGAGATGATTTTATTTTTTGAAACCCATTTGTGATAGGATTATAAATAATATATGTAAAGCACCTAGCTTGGTGCATGAAATTCCACAAACGGGAGCGTATAATATACTGTTAGTAATAAGGAAGAGAAAGTTAATGGCAGAGGCAACAATAAACTTACGAATCAATCAATGCGTTGAGAAATATATTAAGCAACATTTACATCGCAGGCTTCGACTGTGGTACATTATAGAAATTAATTCTATTATTTAAATGAGTCTGCATCTTGAAGCCGGGTGCCAGGACGGAATTGGGAGATGAAGAAAGTGTTTGTTCCACCCAGGAAACTGAAGTCCCCCCCGGGAGGGACCTCTCTCCTCTGTGGAGGTTTGAGAAAAAGCCCTGAAAAGCTGCGTGACTAGACCCGTCCCCGATGGGCTTATAGCCGGGCACCTGCTTCCCCTGGATGAGACCCTTGGCTTCCATCCCTGGCACCAGACAGAAAAGAAATTATTTAAGGGATATAGACTTTGGGTGATTTTATTCTCAGGGGAGTTACCTAGACATTCTTTCTCCCTTCTTTGCCTCATTTCCGTTCACGAACTATTCTTATAACCAATGATCTGATTTTTTTTTTTTTGATGTTAAGAGACTAAAAGGAATCAGACACCTGGAGGCAGCTGTGCTGATGGCATGAGCAGGGAGCACTGTGGGTCCAAGGATGGGGTTCTGAGGTGGAGTGCATGCTCACAGCAGCTAGGAGGCCCTGGGCTGGATCCCCAGCATCCCCCCTCGGCCCCAAACCAAAGATGAGTCCCAGCTTTAAACACCAGATTAGTCTAGGGACATTTAATGAAGGGACGGGGAACTATCCATTAAGTCACCAGCTGTATTTAGACTCTTGTTTTGCTAAACTTTTCGATGTATAGATTAACCCAATCACATCCCTGGATACTGTAGAAGTTGGGGGCATAGGACTGTCTTCGTTTTAAAAAATCATTTAGAAATCATTGGTGGAAGAGACCCCGGGATAGTGCTTGTACCAATTCTCTCCCCCAAACCTTCCTCCAAGGATGGGAGAAGCATGCTGAAAGTAGACTATAGACCGAACATGATTGCCACTCAATGCCTCTCTTGCAAACCACAACACCCAAAAGGAGAGAGAGAACAGAGGGGAATGCCCTGCCACAGAGGCAGGGTGGGATGGGGGGGATGGGGGTGGGAGGGATACTGGGATCCGTGGTGGTGGGAAATGGGTACTGGTGGAGGGATGGGTACTTGATCATTGTATAATTGAAACCAAGCACAAAATTTGTAAGTCTACAACTGTACCTCATGGTGTCTCACTAATAAAAAAACAAAATACAAAAAAAACAAAAAAAAACCCTTCCTGTCTTAGAATAGCCACCTATTGCAAATCCCCTCCCCTCCCCTCCCCTCCCCTCCCCTCGACACCACCCACCTACCTTCCTTCCTTCCTTCCTTCCTTCCTTCCTTCCTTCCTTCCTTCCTTCCTTCCTTCCTTCCTTCCTTCCTTCCTTCTCTCCCTTTCTCTCTTTCTCTCTCACACCCAGCAATGCTCAGGGGTTCCTCCTGGCTCTGCACTCAGGAATGACTCCTGGTGGTGCTCAGGGGACCATATGGGATACCAGGGGAATGAAACTGGGTCAGTCGCGTGCAAGGCAAATGCCCCACCTGCTGTCCTATCTCTCCGGCCTCCACTCTTTGTTTTCTTAGTTAGCTAAAAACCGTTTCCTTATTTGGCAGGGAGGCCCACCTGGTGGTACTCAGGCTCCAGTTCAGCTGTTCCAGGGAGTGTTTGGGGACCACACAGTGCTGGGATTAAACCCTGGCTTCCAGCTCTCTCCCCAGCCCCCATTTTTCTTAACTTTTAAGGTTGATATTTGAGTGCTCCTTCTTGCCTAGCTGCAGTTAACTGGAAATATCTATTCCCACATCCCTTTCACCAGCCACCAATAGTTAAGACAAGTCAGTACTGGTTCAGAACTTAAGGGGATCTACAGCCGGAGTGATAGCACAGCGGGTAGGGCGTTTGCCTTGCAAGTGGCCGACCCGGGTTCAATTCCTCTGCCCCTCTCGGAGAGCCCGGCAAGCTACCGAGAGTATCCCACCCACACGGCAGAGTCTGGCAAGCTCCCCGTGGCGTGTTCGATATGCCAGACACAGTAACAACAAGTCTCACAGTGGAGAGCGCTCAAGCAAATCGGTGAACAACGGGAGGACAGTGCTCCCGGATGTCTAAAGGGAACTATTACCATTAATATGTGTTTTATTTAGGTTCCAAGTTCCAGGTAGCCAGTCTCCTGGGATTCAGTTCGGTAAAACACGATGTGTGCCCATGAAATGCTTAACGCGCAGAGCACTGTGGTGGGCGTTAAAAAAATATTGATGTGATTCTGTTTTAAAGCCTGATGTAAATTTCAGGCTCATGACATACAAATCAGTCTCTGTATTTACTATGTATGTTCCCGCCGAAAGTCTAACTTTCCTCATTCACCCTAGAATTTCTCCCTTTTACCTGATTTACCTGCCTACATTCGTTCTTCTCAAGTAACTACCATTTTGTTCCAGTTGCCTAAGAGTTTGCTGATGTTTTATTTGTCCCATTAGTTTTTTGTTTTTCCTTTGAGGGCATGGAAGGACACACCCAGCTGTGCTCAGGGCTTAATCCTGGCTCTGCACACAGGGATCACACCTGATGGGGTTTGGGGACCATACATGGTACCAGGAATCAAATTTGGGCAGCTGTATGCAAGGCAAGCCCCCTGCCTGTTGTACCATCTTTCCAGCCCCTAGTTCTGTTTCTCAGTTTTCCCCATTTGAGTGAAATTGTATAGTGTTGGCTTTTATCTTACTTACCTAATATCCTCTAGGTCCATCCATGTGTTTGCAAATAGCAGAATCTCCCTCTAGGTAGCAGAATAGCTTTTCTTTGTGTGTGTGTGCGTGTGTGTGTGTGTGTGTGTGTGTGTGTGTGTGTGTGTGTGTGTGTGTCCCATAATCTTTAGCCAATCACTGGCAAGTAGGCATTTTGGTGTTTATTGTCTCATGGTAGTGATGATGTGATGAATGTTGGAGTATATATCTGTCATTCAGGGGTTTTTTTCCCTCATATTTATCTGCTACTTAGATAATTGGATCATATAGAGTTTCCGATTTTTGATGACTGCACTGTTCTCATTGGTTGCAATTTTTAAAAAAAAAAAATGTCTTTAACCAGTCATCTGTTCTTGGGCACTCAGGTTTTTTTCCAGATTCTGGCTATTGTAAAGAGTGCTGCAGTGAACAAACAATTGCAGATGTCACTTCGACTATATATTTTTTGCCTCTCTGGGATATATTCTCACTAATAAAAATTTAAAAAAATAAATAAAATGTCACTGATTTACCATTGATGTATAACACTCTATGTTGAGAGTATAATTAATTACACATCTTGATAGATACATAAACTCCTCAAGACCCTCCACCAAAAACTAGGACTTTGGTTAAATATCCAGGTGAGATAATGCTGGATCACATGGTGTTTCTGTTTTTAGGTTTGTTCGGTTTGGCTTGGTTTGTTTTGGAGCCATACCCAGTGGTACTCAGGACTTACTTCTGCCACTGAGGGTCTGGAGAGACTATCTGGGGTGCCAGGGATCAAACCCAGGTCATCTGCCTGCAAGGCAAGCACCCTACCTGTTGTACTATTTCTCATGCCTCTGTTTTCAGGTTGTTTTTGTTTTTTCTCTTT